GCACTGTGAAATCATTTTACAAATAATGCATTTAGTTCCAATGTTAGGGTTACAGGCAAGAGAATAATTACTGAAATTAATGTTCCTTTTTACCTCATTTAACCCTTCTATGGTGAATTTGGTTAGAACTTAATTAAGGAGCTTTTCAGCTAAGTGGAAATAAATCTTTAAAGCTAATCAGGCACTCAAACACTCGCATTAGTTCAAGGACTTAGATTTAAACAAGGCTCTCTAAATATGACAGGAGACATATACCTAATGTGTGGTACATACATTTTTACCTGGGGCTGGAATGATGAGTATTTTGGAGGGTGCACTGCGAATTACATTCCAGAATAAAAATAGTCCAAATGTAATGGGAAAAAAAAATAATTTAATTCGTACTAACCTGACCTTTTATAACTTAATGAAGAATTTTTTTTTCCCAAAGATACCTTCTACTTACATCAATGCAGTACAAGAAGAGGATTTGCTTCTCAGTAAACTTGCAATAGGAGTTCTTTGTCCCAAAAGTAGTTATACTGAGAATCTCTGTCAAATCTATGTAATGGGATGAGCATAGCCCTTGGTAGAATGCTCAAAAGGAGAAGTAATGCTTTGTTCCTAAGGTCCTCAAACTGAGAGACAGTGAATGAGAGAGCAATATAGATAAAATGTTCCAGAGACCCTATGAAGGTTGAAGGGTGGCAAATCTGGCAGAGAAATTCAGATTAGGAAAGTTTTTTCTGTATTCTTGTCAATGACTCATAAAAAAAATATATAGATGTCTTCCTCAAGTTTCTTTCTATTACATATGCCAAAAGTAAACTAATTCAAGCTCCTCTTTTATGTTGCCAATAGACAAGACTATTACCTGTAGCAATGAAAATTTACCAATTGCACTAACTTCCTCTATCAAAAATGTGTGTGAGAGACAGAACCACAGGATAGTTTGGTTTGGAAGGGACCTTTCAAGACCATCTAGTTTCAACTGCCCTGCAATCAGCAGGAACATCTTCAATCAATTCATGTTGCTCAGAGCCCTATCCAACCTGCTCTTGAATGTTACTAGGGACTCATCCTTACACAAGCAGCATCACTATACTCTTCCCAGGATACCTGTTTTCACTACCTGTGCATTTTCCTTCTTGCCCCTTAATTTGACATTAGGTTTTGACTCAGCCATGCCAGTCTCCTTTCATCTTACACCAAGGACCTTAGAGCTTTCATGCTCTGTGGAAAACTTCCTTAAACATCTGCTAGCTTGGTTTTGCTCCCTTGTCTCTAGGGCAGTTTCCCAGGGGAGACTACTGAATAAATCCTTGAACAGCTGGAATTGTGCTGTCCTGAAATTTGGGGTCTTGACTTTACTCTTCACCTGACCCATACCCCTCAGGACTGCAAATTCCACCAGTGCATGATCATAGGATGCCTCCAATCAAGATGCCATCAATTACTCTCTTGTGTTGGTGACCATCAGGTCCAGTATCACATCCACTCTGGTAGAGCTACCAGCTACCTGGCTTAAGAAGATATCCTCCATGTTCAGTCTCCTGGATTTCCTACCGCACTCTGTGCTATTTTTCCAGCAGATGTAGAGCTAGTTGAAGTCCCCTAGGAGGACAAGAGCCTCCTGGAGGGAACACAGTTGCTCCTATAGCTGTAGTAAGAAGACTTCATCAATAAGCTCACTTTGATCAGATGGCCTGTAGTAGACACCGACCACAAGGTTCCCTTTGTTACCTTGATCTCTGATTCTTACCCATATGCTTTCAGTCTGGTTGTGACTATTGTTCAGAGACAACCTTACACACTCCACATTTCTTGATGCAGACACAAACCTTCCACCCCTCCTTTGTTGCCTGTCCCTTCTAAACATACTGTAGCCATTAATACTCCGCTGAACTCCAGTCATGGGATTCCTTCCACCAGGATGCAGTAATGGCAACTAGGCTGTCATGCTAGCAGAACAGTGGCTTCCAGCTCCTCCTGTTTGTTGCCCATGCTGTGTGCACTGGTGTAAAGGCACCTCAGCTGGGCTGTCAGCTTTGTCTCCTTCTTAGAGGAACACCCCTTAATAATTAAGATAGATACCCTTAATGCCCTTTGTACATAATGAAAAGAAAGTACTTTTACATTTCACTTTATTCGTCTTGTTTTAGACAGCTGCTTTTAAAAGAGGTGATTACATCCCCAAAATTCTTATTTCTTTCCAGCAGCTGTGAAGAAAGGCATCTAAATTTGATCAGATGAATAGCAATCCAGACAAACATTCACCTGCACAGGGATGAATAAAAATCAGGATCATAACTCTGGAAAGAAAATTAAGTCAATACTGCAAATGCATCAATCAGTGAGTTTCCTTCAGGTGCCCAGGGGTCAGTGTAAAGCAAGAACTGGCCCCAGTGAAGTGGCAATTAAAAAACCTCAAACAACCCAACATTAAGAATGGGCAGAAATTGCTAAATTACAGGTATTTGACCACTGTTCTTTCATGTTTAGCAAAAGTAGGTAGTGGAGATGAAGCTCCATTAACTCATTTGAATCTCCTGTTGATTCGTACCAGAGTTCAAGAGAAAAAACATAGTTTCATTATTTTTTGACTGAGTCTTAGACAGAGGAACCAGTGTGACTCAGATCTGGTTCTACAAGTAAATCTTTGGATGCAATGAATATTGTTTTGTACTCTTTTAATCGTCTCTGTGGGTGTTTATGAAAAAGGGATGGGTTACTTTTAAGTGTAGCAACATCCACACACTCACGCCCGCGAAAAAGAGAGAAGGAATAGAACATGAGTCTAAAAAACAAATATAACTCCAGGACAATAATATTTGTAGCTTCTGAAGGACAGAACAGAAGAATGCCTTTAAATAAATCATAGTTTATTACATGTGCCTGCATTTGGATGCCCAGTTAAGTACCTAATTACATGAAGAAATGCAATTGCCGTGTAAAGCAATGTTAATTTTCAAGCACACCTGCTGAGCTTGGGATTGTCATTCAGGTACCTGCTCAGTTGCATGCTGTTGTGCACCATCTGCAGAAAATATTTGTGTGCCTGTCAGAAGTCTAGCACAGGTTATTAGTGAAGAAAACCAGGGGTTTACAGGTTCAGCAGGCAGTCCCATGATCTATCCAACATAGCTGACAAATTTCATTACAATTCTTAACTGGAGCTCTGGCAGTGCAGCTTTGTTTTATTTTGCTGAGGCAATGTGCAAAGAGAGCTCTTTCTCTGCTCAGACTCTAGATGCTTTCGATTTCTTGGATTTCGGCTCAAGTTGATGAGCTCTCTGCTATGCTTACCTGCTTTTTTTTTCTTCTTCTCTCTACTTTGACACATGCTGTATGCCATTAGAGAGCAAAAAATACTGCTAGAAATTCTATTCTTAGTGTTAGTCCATTTGATTTTTGATTATCATCCTAACTGCCAAAGAAATGAAATTGCTTTGCTTTGCAGTACCTGCACTCCATAGCACTTGCTTTCACACTGTTCTTTTTTTCCTTGACAGGTAGAAACTGTTTCTGTTTTTCCCCATGAATGCTTTAGGTGTGATGCTGAACAGCTCAGGAGGACAGCTAAAACATAGCAAGTGGCCCTAAAGAGCATTTCTCAAATATGTTTCTTTGCCCTATTTCTTTGCTCTTACTTCACATTGGACATGTTAATAAGGCTTAAGGCTACATATGTTTTCCTTACTTATCTTCACAGCTTAAATATCTCTAGACTCTTGTAAGTATTACCGACGTGACAGAATATGTGGATTTGTTTCTGAGAAGATTCTCTGATTTCTTTTACAACTTTGGCTTTGATATATTATTTTAAAAGCTTGTTTCATGAACCAAAAGTAATATTTTCTTACATATTCATCCATTTTACTGTAAATTGCAGACAATGAGGTTGAGGGAATGGAGCATTATGTGACTGGCCTGGCAAGTGACAAGTAAACAGTGAGGGAGGGCACATAAAGGAATAGGTAAAATACGGTGGAGCAAACATTTTTTTCCAAGCAAATGAAGCCTAAGAGCTTTAAAGAGGCTTTTGCAGCTGTTTTGTTTCAGAGCCTACTTCAGTGAAATACTAGATGTTGGAGCTGATAAAAACTTTATGGAGAAACATACAGATTGGACAAAGTGTAAATATTATTGTTAGAATTGTTGAACTTTCATCAGGCACCAGGCAACATGGAAATTCTTGCTGGTTGGTGGTGCATCAGTTCCTTGAGCAACTGTCTTTCTGGCCTTGTTGACCTCATCCAAGGAACTTGTCTGTGCAGAAACATCAGGGTGGTTCTGAGCCAGCTCTTAAGCTCCCTAGAAAGCTGATACATGAACAGCTCAGCTCCCCGTTTCCAGAGCAGTGCTCAGAATCACATGTCTTGGGGTCTACAAGGCTGAAAGCAAATAAGAAATTTCTGGTCTTAGCCTCCCAGAATCTACTTTTCTTTCGTAGGTGTTATCTGACTTTTTTAAAAATCCCATACTTATGGGACAGCTGATGTGACAGTGGTGGGACATACCCACTACAGCTTACCAGCACTCTTCATGGAGCAAAATCACAGACCCAGAATGGCCTCTTTCCACCAAGGGTGGTGGAAAACAGTTTCCATGACTGTGTCATATTGTGTCACTGTCACTAGCTGGATTATTTCATTTTAGCTGGAGAAAAAAGAAGCCGTCATGCCTATGTATTACTTTCCAACAGAATTAACTAAAAAGTAAAATGTTGACCTCATTAAATGGAGTCTAGCTTTGTGCCTATGTTTGTACACAACAGCAGATTTATGTATTCATAAGAAGCAAAACTGTCATTTAGATGTATGCATGTATCACCTAAATAGCAATGGTCAAATCATGTTGTTTTTTAGGCAAAAATAGTATTTCCAATCTCTTTTTACTATTATTTTATTTTTACTCTCCATTTGCATACCAACTTCACGAAAAGCAAATAAATTGAGTAAGAGGAAATGTATCTGTTGTGCACATATTTAATCCCTTCTGTTTATGTTCTTTTCACACAGAGATTGAAAGATTTGAAACAAAGAGAATTTGCTCGAAATGTGGCTTCAAAGTCATGGAAAGATGAGAAGAAACAGGAAAAGGCACTCAAGCGACTCCACCAGCTTGCAGAGTTACGGAAGCAGTCAGAATGGCAAGTATTTAAAATTCATGTTAGAGTTTAATGCCCTCTTCCCTCAGTCCCAGAAGAAATCTTAATATTTTTACTCCTACACGATGTAATGCACAAAGCTTGTGTATAGTGTAACCTGTTTTCAGCTGTCCTCAACTCCAAACGTTCCTGTTCTGCAAACCATAAAATTGAAAGCCCTGAATTAATTACATGGCATTTGAAGGTTTGTCGTTTTCTCTCCTGTAGCTAGTTATTCTCATGTCTTCTAAACTGAGCATTTTGAAGATGCTTTTATAATATCATCATTTTTCCTTATCCAAACTGACCTGGAGAGATTAATATGACTGTCTTAGCATTTGACCCTAAGTGAATGGGAGAGAAAAAACCCTTTGTGAATCATTTTTACCACTTTTAGGGTGCTGGGATTATTCTCAGAATTTCTCTGTAGAGTAATGAAAGTATCATTATGTGAATGAAAAACAAATAATTAACTAAGTTTCTCTGCTACTGTTAGCTCTACTGAAGAATATCAAGATACAGGACAAATATTGCACTAATAAACCCTTAAATTTGAGAAATCTCCTTTGTTTAATGACACTGAGGGCTTCAGATTGCCACCAGACCAATTGTTTATGTTAATCTATGACCGTAATGAGTTAATCAGATAATTAAACTGACATTCTTTTAAATTCATATCAAGATTACTGTACCCTGGAAATAATAGCATTCAGAGTTTATTATACACTCATTTTGGCCTATGTAATTGCTTTTGAGCAATCTGCTGAAATATAACAGTTTAGTGCTAATAAATCACTTTTACGGTTACAACTCCGTTTTCATACAAATCTGTTGAAATAAATGTAACTGCCTGTGGGAAGATTCCTTTATATCCACATACTTGAAGATGTAGCCTCAGATAGACCAATAAGGCCAGTGATAATAGGAAAGCCAGAGTGAAACTATGAGGGAAAAAAAAAGGCTTGCTTTTAGAGAGAACCAAGAGCCCATAATCCTTTACAAAGAGCCTGGAAAGAATAGTTTCAGGGGTGGCTGAGAGCTGTGATTTTGGCAGAGGAGTAGCATTCCCACTTGCTCAGGAAAGACAGAAAGTCAGTCTTTCTAAGAAAAGTCCACATACACATAAAATTGTTATTGTCCCTGAGTATTGCATCTCAGGTTCCAACACAATTCCTTGAAACAAGCCAGTACAATTTGACAACAAAATTACTGTTAATCTTGTGCATAGAAACGTTTTATTTTGCTATTCCAAGGAGACTTCGAGAAGGATCTCTTTAACACACTTTCTCCAAGAGATTATTTCTTCTTGATGTACAAATAGCCCTGAATTTGTATCCCCTGTTGACAAAGTTGTGGTAAATGCAAATATATGCTCTGAAATGCATACATATTTTCATACTCTGCGTTGACCCTACTTCAGAGAGTCTTTCTGTCTTTCCCATTGCTGAATATCAATGTATTTTTATAGCATTTATAAAACATGCTAGCCAATTATAGATAGCTGTTATGCAGATCTAGCAGTCCTAATGTATTTACATTTATTTAAAATATTTTCTAATCTTTAATCAAACTTTTTACTTAATCTGGTTCCTAATTTTTTTTTTCTTGTTAGTGTACTGTAGTGCTGCATTGATACCAAATGCAGATAATTAGTCTAATGAAATGCACGTTTAAATTATATCTTGGAAAAACACTTTTATGGTGGCTATTTATGTCTCATCTCTAATGGAAAATGACAACAGTCATTCCAATCTCAGTTAATCATCTATTTCAAGAAATCTGTGATTTACCATGTTTGTTAAGGACTTCATAGATGGGCTGTGCCTTTTTTTTTTTTTTTTAATTACCAGAATACTAAACCACAGATTTAAAATCTGAGATATTTTGAGAGGAGGAATAATGTAATTAATGAAAGTATCTGTCTGCTGAGTAGAGGTGGCCATTGTGCTTTGAAAGTATTAGAATTTCTCATTTTGATTTTAAATTCTAAGCTTTGGCATAGGCTGCCCATGCTTTGGAGCTGACTGTAAGACACCAGGTCTTCTAGACCAGGGATGCAGAAAAATGGAATTTACCTGGAATGTTTACTAAGCAGAACTCTACTCTGGATTCTGCATTTAGCTCAACACGCATGTGGCAAAACAAAGAACACTGCTTTCTGTCTGACTTTACTGAGGTTAAAATACATTCCCGTTTTTGCACATTACCATGAGAGAGGGCAGATTTGTTTTTTGAGTATTAAGGGCTACTGGGACAGTTAGGTAGGATTAATGGGGCAGGAGGCATAAAAAATCTGCCCTGGTTTAGGCTCTGAAAATGATACAGCTGCTCAAAATCACACCAGAATAGACGTACCTGTTCAAAAGCCTATGAGGGTCCTGAGGGCACTACTGAGCTTTAATGACCCTAAACAGCCACACCTGGGCCCCACTTATACCTCGGGGCTCAGAAAGCTGAGCTTTGGTCCTCTTTAATCCTCCTTAGTCTTTCTGGGCTGGATTGGAGGAGGGTTGGTCTCCTTGGCCATATCCATGCTACTGTCTGTCCCCAGTGCCCCTTGCTCCGGACCTCAACCCTTGGACTGTCTTCCTGGCTCAGCCTCAGCCCTCTCCAGTCACCATGGATCTGTCTGGTGGACCTGGCCCTAACCTACAGCTCAAGATGCGCATATAGAAATGCGCACACAGCAACCAGTCTTTAATTTGCAGCTGATAAGAGTCTGATATGGTAAATGAGGCCTCTTGACTTTAGAGGGTTGAATTTGCCCCAGTTATCTTAAGGATGTTGAGAGTGTTCTTCAGACTTGCCCATTCAGGGTGAACCATGGGGAGTGTTTTTTTTTTTTTTTTCATCTGTATCTCAAGTCGCAGAATAGTTCAAGATTTAAGTTAAATTGAGTACTGTCAACCTTAGAACGATTTGGGAAAATCTGCACCCTGAAAGGTAAAACACTGGAGGATTGAGGTCATAATACTTCAAGTTTTATCAAAAACTCACCAACTAAAAAGTGAATTTATTTTCCTTTGCTGACATCACATTCTGCTCTGAACTGACATATCAAGGAGATTTGGACAACACTCCCAGGCACATGGTGGGATTGTTGGGGTGTCCTGTGCAGGGCCACGAGCTGGACTCTATGATCCTTGTGGGTCCCTTCCAACTCAGCTTGTTCTATGGTTCTATGATTCAATAACTAGTCTGGGCATTTATCCTGTAGAAACTTAGCTTTCCCTTGTAACAGCATGATGCCCTCCTTCACCATACAGACAATGTCAAACGCAAGCTCTGTCATAGCTTGGTTACTTAATACCTTTATTACTTTATTAATACTTAAGGCTTTCTTTTTTCTTTATTTTTTACCTTACAGCATCACTGGGAGTGGACCATTGCTTAAAGCCCCCCGATTGGTCATGGAAAAACAGCAGGCACCTCATGGCATTTTCCTCTACAAAGGTGGCAAGTTCACAGCCAGTTCTCAAAGAACAGTGATGAGTGAAGGACAAGGTTTCTCCAGAGCCATACTAGAGAAACAGCAGCTTATTATAAGTAGGCATCATCCCTCTGCTGAAAGACACCATGCACTAGGAAATCAAGTCTCACAAGTGTTCCCAGATAGCACCAATACCTCTCAAAGGGCAGGAGTGTCTTTCTCATTCTCTAAAAAGGTCCCTTTAAAGCTTGAGTCCTCGGCATCAGTCTTCAGTGAGAACTCTGAAGAAGGAAATGATTGTAGTGAGTCCCCCAACCATAAGAAAAAGCAAGTTATTGAGGCCTGCCATTCTGGCACACTTTTGGAGGAATACATGAAAGCAAGCTTGGATAAAGGGTCACCTATTACACAAGACCAAACAGATTTGGATAATAGTGCATCAAGTCATGCAGCTCCAAAACCTAAAATAGTAAAGGAAAATGATAAAAGTAGTGATAGGGAATGGGAAGAAAAAGTCAGTGCTCATGCTTCATTTTCTAAAGTGAAAATACAGCTTTCAAATTTGGATTTTTCTGGTTCACTGAGAGAAACAGAGCAAGACAGCAAACTGAATGAATCTGAGCAATTCTTAGAAACTCTCATTTCACCTTCATGCCAGCCTAGCAATTTTTGTATGCAGCTGAATACCTACAAGCACAGCAATGCCCACCTGCCTGACCAGTTATCTGAACTCCCACCCCAGCAAGTGCCTGAGTTGGCACGTTCAAGCAACATAAATAACAGTCCTGAACTGGTAAAAAGAGAGAGATCTTTGGAGATTTCAGAAATCAAAAATGGAAATATGGAAACACGTCCAAAGGAGGCCGTGGTTAAAGAATTTAAGCCCCAGACATTGCCTTTCCTCCATGTAGTGAGCAAAGATGGCACCACTGCTCTGCAGTGGCCCACAGAATTGCTTTTGTTTACAAAAACTGAGCCCTGTATTTCATATGGCTGTAATCCATTGTATTTTGACTTCAGACTCTCTTTAAATCACAGAAATGGTAAACAGCATGAAACAAACAAAGCAAGCTGTAAAGAGCACTCTAAAAATAAGACTGCAGATGAAAATGAACCCTCAGGTTTAATAAAACACAGACAAATGTCAAATGAACAAGATAATCAGTTGTTGAAACCAAAGAGGATGAAAGGTTCCCTAAATCCAAGAAAGGCCAAGCAAAAAACTGAGTCAAACATAGTGAAAGAAGTGAACGAAAATGGTCAAAAATATATTGCAGATTATTTGAATGAAAATATGCCCAAAGTGCCTGCTTACCTTGATGTGTCACAAAAGGATTATTTGACAGAAAAAAGTCTTCATACAACAAGACTGAGAAGACCTTTAAAGCATCATTTTCATAGCTGTGGAAGAAAAAAACAGAACATTAGAAATGAAAGCATTTCCTTTTCTGCTTTTATGTCTAGGATTAAAAAGTCTAAAGCTGCGAAATGTCATTTAATTTATTCAGAAGAAAAATGTGAAAACCAAGATGACTGCAGATCCATTCAAGGTGTGGCCAGCTGCAGCAGTGATATAAGTGACAGTGGAAAAGACTCTAGTGGAAGTTTCCTTAGTTGTAAATCCAGTTCAAACAGCAGGAATTCAGAGAATGAAGGATGTGGAAGTTACACAAGATGTTGGAGATTCCCGTCTTCTCAGAAGTCCTCCTCTGGCAGACATTCCAGCTATTCTGACACTTCAGTTAGCAGTACAAGTACCTGCATGAGTTACATGGGTCCCACATCAAACAATCACAGCAGAAATCATTTGCTCTGTTGTTGTAAAAGAAAAAGCAAGACAGATGAAAGGCACAAATGTAAACACAGAAAGCACAAGTGTATTTTCACATCAGATGATACAGATGAGGACTATCTGTGTCATAGTAGAAGTCACAGAACTAGAAACTGTACTCAGAGGGGCAAAATTAAATATCGAAAATGTTCAAGACACAAAGTTTTACAACACAGAGGCAGATCTAAACACAGCAGATGTAGGCATCGACATTTTGGCAAAGCTCATAGTAGGAGTAGAAGCTACCACAGATCCAAAAGCTGTTCCACCAGTGATTCAAGAAGCAGTGAAAGATCATCTAGTAGCAGAATATCAAGAGGCAGCAGTTCAGGATCCTTCTCAAAAGAGGCTGACAACTGTGACAACAAAACAAAAGAGGATGCCAAAAGAGGTTCTAATGCTGAACCAGGAAAAGCTGAAACTGCACATTACAAATCTCTGAATGTGAATAGTCAGTCAAAAAACTTTGCCACCTGTTCTTTTGAAAACCTGGCAAAAGACATATGTGGAAAAAGGAAATCACTGACAGCCAAGTTACTTTTAGAAAGAGTGCAGTCTAAGAAAGCCCAGGAGCAAATTCACAATTCAGAGAGATTTTTAAATAGTAGTAGGGAAGAATTAAAGGATCGATCGAAAAGTCACTTTGCTCTTCAGTTATCTTCAGTAGATGACATTGCAATGCTACCTTTGCCAGGTAAAAATGACATGGAGCATAATGAGATCAGTTTGTTGGAAAATAGTGTGAAGAAAAACAACTTGGAAGCATCAGAGATAACTAACGTTACTATTTCACCTGGCACTGATTATGATCATTGTGTTTTTAAAGATGTAATTCGAATAGAAACAGGCTATCAGAGCCCAAGCATTAAAAGGAACACAGCAATAAAGGAACAATCCAATCTCTTCATTAGTGAAGTGCAACCCTTTATACAAAGCTGTGACCCAGTACCAAATGATTTCCCTGGTGCTTTTCCCTCTAATAGATATTCTGTTGTTGCTAATTCAACAGAGACCAAAGAAGAACTACAGGATATAAACATGGACTCCAGCGGGGCAGAAGGCTGTTCAGACTCTTTTTGTGACAATGCTATGCAGAAGTATGAAGACACAGTAGATGACCTAGAAGTGTACAGTAAGTCCACCTCCCCTCCTTTAACACAGCAGCCTATTACATTTTCACCAGAAGAAGTAGACAAATACAGGTTGCTGCAGCTGCAAGCCCAGCAGCACATGCAGAAACAACTTCTGGCAAAACATCTGAAAGTTTTGCCTGCCCCAGGACCGGCTACCTTCTCTGCAACACCAGCAGTTCCTGCCTTCCCTGTTCAGCAGCATGCTACTGTCACTACCATCCACCACACACTGCTGCAACGCTTTGCTGTTTCAGCATCTCTGCATCCCCACGGCAGTCATCTCTCCCTGGCACCCCTCCACCCACTCTCCCAGGCACATTTTGCCCCCATATCACTTTCCCCATTAGCTCCAGCCTTCATTCCCACCCACCCTGCTTTGCTGACAGGACACCCATTACACTTGGTTTCCACCACACCCCTCCACCCTTCCCCTCTGACCTTCCCCACACTACCACACACTGCATATATCCCGGCCTTATTTACACCACACCTGAACACAGCCACACCTGCTATACATCCAAATCACTTAGTTCCTCCGGTATTCCAAGGGCAAGAGCCTCATCACTATTCTTGCTCTAGCCAGACCCAACAGTTACCTACAACAAAAGAAGTTTTCAGTGTTTCTAGCTACTTAAACTAACCCAAATGATTTCACAATGGCTCCAAAACCAAATTTAAATAAAATAAAGCATTCCGTGTTCAATCCCATGTCTGAGGGGAAATCTATTGTTTTTCTGAGACCACAATGACAGAGATTTTAAAGTCTGCAATCTGTCTGACAGTATATGAATGTTGATTTTATTCTTGTATCTCTGAGGAAAAGCTGCTTAAAAGCTTCTCTGTGATACTAGCGCAAGAAGGATGGGGTGGCTAGTGTCATTCTACTGAATGTTTGGAAAGAATAGCTTGAAGTGAAGTCTATGACTCTCAGTAGGAATGGGACCACAACACCCAGACATAATGGGATTGAGTGTATCAACAAGGATGAGGGATTTAAAGTAGGGCAATTTAAAGTAGAGCACTCTTGAAACACCTCAAAGATTTGATTTTTGTGAGTGTATATATGAGACAGCCCAGGGATTGCAACAGCATCTTGAAGATACTTTAGTGATTTGGTCCCTGACATATGTTGCTTGAACTGTATAAAGGGATTTCAATGAGGCCACAGGTATACAACAAAAAATTCCTTAGCACAGGAGCCCTGTGCTGGCACAAGCAAGCTGCTGATTTTCTTCCTGAACCAAGCATCCCAGAAGGCAATGAAGCCAAGTTCTTTGGCATTGCCTGTGTATGTATCATAGGGTACATCAGGAGTGAGCTGCAAGTAGCCCAGAATTGCCAGCAACCAGGGCTGGCTTTGAACCTCAGAGGTCCTTTTCCAAAACTGCAATGCTTCTTTCCTATCTAACAGAGCTCTGACATGTGGAGGAGTCTTTCCCAAAGAACATGTAAATATCTTTCATCCCTTTCACAAACAACAGAAACAATTGGCTGGTCCTATAAATTCATGCTGATATTCATAAAAATGCAGAAGTAAAATTCTGGGCAGCTCTTCAAAAACTGGTTATCCAGGTTGTCTCAAAGAATAACATGTCATAGTACTCAGCATTTAAAGGTATATTGAATCTAAACAAATATGTCAAGATTCTCGCATGGCTTCCCAAACTCTCAACAAGCAAATTGAAATTCTGAATCCACAGTGTTTGAATGCATGTATCCAACCTTCAGAGTAATGTGTGGTTGAAATTGTTCATAATAACTGTGTATCTGGAAATAGGTGGGGACTTCAGCATCTATTTGAATGGCATAGTCTGGCTATTTTATAATGCTTCTAATTCAACAGAAGATTTGTAGCATGAAATTAAATTCATAATTGTCATTAGACTGCAGGAATGTTTCCCAATATAATTGGACCATGAAGTTTCCAACAGACAGTACCTGTTTGTATTAAAAACATTTGAAATAATTTCAATTAATTTGCAATAAGGTAGTGCACAATTAATAATGTGTCTTTCAGAATCAATATAAAACACATTTTAAAAGTTTTGGAGGAATTTTATTCCATTATATTCAGCTATCTGAATCAACTGAGAAATCTAATTGCAGTTAAGTTGTTTATTTAAAATAAAACAGGACTTATTTCCTTAGTCTTAATCAAACTAGATTGATCCATTGCAATAAAATGGAATTGTTTTCATTTCAAAAGGCAGCTGCTTCATCATAAACTAGTATTATTCTAAACTTTTCAAATTACAAGTTGTAATTCTTTGTTTTGTATTTCCAAAGTTTGTAGTTTGAAAGTAGCTTTGAATGCTTAATGTTTTAGACATTTAATAAAAAGTATCAGAAGAAAAAATGGAGACTGAGCAAAAGCAAAATATTTTTGTGCTGAGAAAGGTTGTTGAAACCAGCACTGTCAAATATATTTTGATTTGATTCCCAGCTTATTTATTAGTCTTGTTAACTGAATGGATTCATGCCATTTTGGAGTTACTTATCTGTATGTAAGTAGCATATAAATCATGTTTAATTTTCTAATTTTAATTGCAAGGAACTTCTTTAATTGAAATTATTGCTTCAGAATTAAGGAGGTCAAAATTTTTCTTGTAAAAGATGTAAAATTAAATATTTCTACAGTTTAAAAATTTGTCCTTTTAATTTTGGCTGAAGATCTTCCTAAATTAAGATCTGAATTTACATATAATTTCTATGCTTCTGAAATTTCATTTTCTGAGAATAAAGCATATTTCACTGACTGGGATTCAACACCTCCAAAAATTATTACTTGCTTGGATGAAGATCACTCACCCAGAGGACCACTTGGAAACATTAGTCATAACTCTGTAGAAATATTCTGAAATGGACATCTAAAGTAGCAGGTCAATCTGTGCCCTAGAAGAGGCTGACTAAGCTGCATAGCCATGACCACCAGTTCAGGGCTCATACTAGCCTAAAAGATGCATTTCCATCCCTACAAACTTTTAAATTTATGGGCCCAATTTCATTTATATTGGAGCAAACCCAGCTGTTCTCATTGTATATAAGAGTTCATTTGTATTCTAAACAGATTCCAAAAAAAAGAAAAATATGGAACTAAGGAATGATGAGCTAATCTCATCTTTAATGTGCGTGCATACGTTTTGTATCCCTGCTTCTTACAGCCAAGGGTAATGTTGTAGAAGTTTCTGTGGCAAGAAACCTGACCAACTGAAACTTAACCATATCCTACTACATAGATAATTTATGGAAAATAGACACAAATCTTTCCCATAACATATGCACAATACAGTGGGATTCTAGAAGAAAAAAAATCATAGGATGTTGATACATCATTGTATATACCAACACGGTAAGGCAAATAAATTGACAATTAAGATTAAATTTAATTCTTGGAACAATGAGAATTAGGATTTTGAGAAGTTTTGATGGGGGGAAAAAGGAGTGATTAAGAACAGAAATAGCGCAGTGGCAAAACAGTAATCACTGACTACTGAACAAAGGGAATGTCCAATATAATTCTTAATACAAAAAAGGGATTTTCTTGGAGAAATGTAATAAAGCTATCAGCACAGCTGAAATTATATTTTCTCTCTAATTGCTGCCATATTTGTTTTTCATCCCTAATGTTATTTAAATATGCATCATTATAATTATTAAAAGCATTATTGAGCCCAATGTATGGAGCCATGCTACAATTTTGATTTTATTCAAATAGATTTTTAAAAGAGTTACAGTAACCTCATGGCAGTGATAAAGACACACCAAGTTAATAAATTGTTTTTGATTGACTGTATGTTCTTGATACATAATCCAAGGAAACAGGTCACCCACACACTAAAATTCCTATAAGAAACATTTCCTCAGTTACACTATGATAAATTTTTGTTGTTGTTGCTGATTGGGGGTTTTATTTGTAACTGAGGTACTTCTGGAATACAATGAAGATGTATATTTGTTGTGCAGATTTGCATAAAAATGCCATTTGATCAGATTGATTTTAAAAGTGTCAAGTTTATATTTAAAACTGAATAATACTCTGGCTAGTATAATATGTAAACTAGTAATTTTGTTTTGTATTCTCTGTATAAAGTGTTTTATATTATACAGTAGCTAAGTGAATTGCACTATTGTACATGCAACGCGACTTTTTTTTTAGCTTATTCAAGGAATCCCTGGGAATGTAGTTTAATGCAATAATATTTTTTTTCAATAAAAAGGCTTACTGGTATAAAGAGTGTCAGTCATGTATTTTTAATGTAAAGCATACCAAAAGGCAACAACATAATAAAATGCAGAATGATGCAAACATATTCTGTATTTTAATCTGCAGAACTGAAATACGTTTAATTCTTTCCTGTGGCTATAATCCTGAAATTTCTTAGAATGTTTCCTAAAGATTTTAGTATGTGTTAAAAAAGTGGGTTGTTTAAATGGAACTGAAAATAAACATTCCTTAAAAAAAAATTACTCTATCTATGTGGTTTTTCCATGTACTTTTAATGAATAAATATCCTCCTGGATATTTTTATGCTCTGATAAGTTGATTTAGAATTTCACCTATAACTCCTCAGGTTGCCCAAATAATGTCTCTGAGCTATGATTCCTAATGTTTGTATAGCAGGACCTTGGGTAAAGAAACTAACAGTAGGATCAACAAATGTATCATTTATTCAGGCTTCAACCATACTTTAAAACTTCACATAGTTATGATAAGTATCACTTTATCCCATGTTTTCTCTTTTACATTGTATTTTTCCAGTTTGCTTATTTCATTCTTTTCCATCTCTCTTTCATCTATATTATAAGTTTTCAGACATAAGGCTTTGGCTTCGCTCATGTGGGTCTCAGCTTCAGGAGTCTGAGGAACTGCTGCTGTACTCTTTGTAAAACCAGAAATAGCTGCCAGTAAATAGTTTCATAAGTGTCATGCCTCCAGGTAGCACAACAACTGAAGTAAGGTGAAAACAAGTGTCTGCATGGGTACGTGTAACAGATAAAGCTCTGTGGTTTTGAGGTGTGATGTGACAGAGGTTATACTGTGTTAGACGTATCTGCATAGCTGGAAATACCATGGCCAGTCTCTGAGACCAAATTAATCAACCATGCATGTCATGACTCAGGCATCCTATAAAATCTTGAAATCACAGGAAATCAACAGAGGTATAATTGACGCAGTGTATCTAATTCCATTGAATTGAGTTTCTTCATCCAGTTGTTTCATGATAAAAACAAAATTCAGAATTAGAACTTACATAAAAAGTGTATGTGTCTGAAGGAAATCCCCTGCAAATCAATATCTATACCACTACCTGTCAATTATAGTAAGCTTCCAGTTGAGATCAGATGTCACCTCTTTGTTGCTGAACAAACTTTGATACACGCTAGGAAAACAAAACAAAACAAAACAAACAAACAAACGAACAAACAAACAAAAAACCACCACAAACCAAAACCACAAAAAACCAAAACCAAAATAAAAATCTTTTGACCAGGATGCAATGAAGTTGTCCACACCTTCCTATTCCTGGTAAAGCTAGCTACAACGCCAGCAAAACCTTTCCTGCAATTTGGTGGAAAGCAAGTGCATAACCTAATTATGTGAAGTAAACATCTTAATATATATTTTATACAGAGATATAAAGAATCTCTAGGAATGCAGCTCATTACCTTTCTCTGTCTAGACACTAGGCACAATGATAACAATGTTTGTGGGAATAACAGGAATCTGCAAGTCAGTAAACTGCACTGCTGCCTTGCTACCTTACTGTGGCGGTGTGCTTGAACGTTTCTCTGCCCTAGGGCTGAGGGAAATTTACGCATTTACATTTCAGGTCATGAAAATACTCTCAGCCTCTTCAGGACCATGAGGACGAGCCTTAAGTCAATATGTTACTTGTCTATAAAGCATGTAGCAATTTTAAAATATTTTCTATCATTCTTCAATGAACACATAATTTTCTCTAACAGAAAAGACAGAAGAAGCCAAACAGCCAATTGCAGAAATTATAGAGAGAAATAAATCTACAATTGCAGTAATGACTGTTTATTTTAAACATCTACTGCTTAACAGT